TGTTCGCTTGTCCCGCCAGCGTCCTTTCCCTTCACCATGGCGTCCGATGGTCCGGATCCGCAGTCATTGAAATCCTGGCAAGATGCATTTCACTACCCAATTCCTACTGTGCGCCGCGTGGAGCAGGAGCTGCGCCGGGACATCGCAAGCAATAAGGAGAAGCTCAGGGCTCTTGTCGGGTATGTGAAGGCCGACACCCTAATTTACTATAGGAAGGACTAATGAAATCTGGCGCATCTAGTACGAGATACCGAGAACTCATTGGTACTGCTGAGACGATCGTGTCGATGAATCGCGAAATGGAGGATGTGGATTCGACGCTGGCCGACATAGGACGAAGATGCAATCCACGCCTGATGGAGAAGATGTACACGCATTACAACCAGATAAAGGAGGATAGTCATGATGAAGGTATGGTATAGTGTGATCGTGGCTTGGGTCTATAACCAACAGCTGATGGGAAATAGATGCCGCGAAACGAGCGCTCGGAGGGCAACTGGGTTTACTTCATCGCTGCGCATCGTCAATCTCTAAGCTTCTGCGTCGACGCGGCTCCGTCTTGCTTGTGGCCAAGCTTATGGTCATCTCTCGTCTTTTACACAAGACTCTCTCCCAGCAGGCGACGGTGCCACCATTTGTGGAGGACCTACGCAATCAATTAGCATCCCTCCAAAGAAGTTTATTGAGGAGGCTTGGAAAGCGGCTCACGTCTGCTAAATATACGGCTGACGAGATTATTGAGGCTTTGGCGGCATATTGTCTTACAACTAGCTCTTCATCGGATGACGCCATCCGCTACTTTCACCGGGTTCGCTTAGATGGCATTGGAAGCCAGCTGGAGCTTGTCGACCCGTCAGGCGAGAATGTTCTGAGCAGCTTACGGCTATATGTTCGGACACTCCAGACTTCTAAGATCCTGCTATCTCGTCGATTGTCAGATGTCCTGAGCAAGCTGAAAGCACGGCCTCTGCTGACAGACCCTGAAGTACGGAATTTGGACGACCTAGACCTCGGTGTTCTGGGACGCTGGGTTGCTGCAGATGTTAACAACTTCACACCATGGATCAAGCTCAGTGAGCTATCAAAGTCGGACGCCGAGAAGACGATTAAACAATGGTCGAAACCGGCTTTCGACAAATTCCTAAGTGGATGCCGGGGCACCCTTACAAACTGGGTAGACTTCTCGAAGCTTCTCTCATTACGCAAGCAAACATTGGAGCTCTGGCTATCTTCCCGAAGCTCGACACCCACCCATTCATCGTTACAAGTTCTGGAAGGAATTAGGTCAGTTTTCAATGATCGACTTAGGATTATTCTGTCAGAACAAGCCAAGACATTGGACCTATTTGGTCAAGGTGTCGCCTCTGCAGTGTCGAATTGGGGTGACAGAGCCCACACGGCTTCGCAGTCACTTTGGGGCGAGGATTTGATTTCACATGACTATTCCAATGGCTCTGCTGCATTCAAGCAAGCTGTCACGGACAGACTCCTGGGGCGTGATGATGACGTATCCGCTGTCCTGGGGAAATACCAGGGATGGTTGTCTGTCATTGAAGAGTCCAGGGAGTCTATCGACGGCCTACGGCAAGTACGTTGGTCCGACGTCCTGGATGAAGGTGAGGACGAGGATCTCGATATTGATGTCTCTGCCATGTTGAACGACGACGATCCACGACTGCTCCGTGAAGCCCTTCAGGTGGCAATTGGAGAAGCATTCGACACACTCCAAAGTTCGCTCAGCACAACCTTTCAAACCCTCGAAAAGCAGGGACAAAGCGGCGAGGCCGCTTTTATGCTGAAGACTATCCGACTGGCTCGAAGAGATCTGCCTGTCCAGTTCATTGCGAGCGATTATGCACTGTCCCAAAGTATCGTGCCGGATTTGCAGAGAATCCTTGCTACAGACATAATCAGCCGCACAGGCCCCTGGAAGTCTCCGGCTACTTCGAAATCGAAGTCTGGAAAAGTGCCAGGTCGCACGCTTTGGGAGGGTGATCCTGAAATCCCTGTCCAACCGACACCATCGTCGTTCAAATTCCTGCGTAAACTTGTGCGATCTATGGATCAGTACGGCGCTGGACTTTGGGATGTTTCCACGACGCAGACGCTAAAATCTTCCATGACCAAGGGACTCTCGGAGTCTGTCACATCCTCCATTGAGAAGCTCAACTCACCTGCCGAAATAGAGGGCAGCAAGAAGCCTGCCTCGCATGATGAGGAAGAGACAGAACCGGCACAGAACGGCGAGAATGGCGAGAATGGCGAGCCGGCGAAACCGAAACCCGAAAGCACCAAATCCGACGATGCCGATGATATAAAGGACCGAAGGATCCAGCTTTACTTCGACACCGTATACCTGAATGATGCATTTGCGATTCGAGACTCTGAACGCAGCCAATTGGCAGAAGTGTTGGATACACTTCGCAGCAGCCTCGACTTGCCTGAGAAGGCAACGAAGAAGCTAGAGAACGCTGCGCACGAGTACTGGACACGGACCCAGCTATTATTTGGGCTCTTGACTGTGGGAGCTGAGCACTAAGCAGGCTGCCATTAGCATGAAACAATGTATATAAATCATAAGCATATCATCATCGGACAATGCAGTTCATACCACCTTCATACCTCCTGTGACCGGCCAATGAGCGCGCGTATGTATAAACTTCCTCATGGGGCCTAGCGGCCGCGGGGGTTACTCACCGCCCACGTCACGTTTCCGGCGGTGACGCCGACTTGGCCGCGGGAAAACGAGATGCGTTCATCGTTCATCTCCCTCTTCTCTCCTGACCGGCTGCCTTGTCTTGTTGCACCTCTTGTCCTCGCACCTTCTCCCTCATCTCCCCTCAATCTCCTGTCAACGCGGCAACCATGGCGGCCCCAAGGCTTCCATTCCTTTACCCAAACCTGATGCGCGCAGTTCGATCCTGCGAACCCCATACCTACCGCTCTCTTCGCCTTACATCCCGCAACCAGCACGCTCCCTTCCACACCAGTCCACGACGCACTCAAGAAACCTATCATCGACGATACGGGCCTGCTGCAGAAGCAAATCTACCACCGCCGTCTAAACCGAAAGACGAACCACCTCGTCAACAGCCCACCAATACCCCGTCCGAGAAAGACAAGGACAGCAACGCTGCCTCGTCTCCGAATCAAGCCCCACCAGCGCAATCACAGCCAAAGGACACCGAAACCACCTCAGAGGCCTCATCACATTCGCAACAAGACAAATTCACCTCCGCAGACACAGAACTGCTAGACGAGGAGAAATCCGCACAAGAACAAGAGCCCCGTGAAGACTCCGAACCCATACTCGATGCCCGTGATGCCGATGAGGTCAACGCTATATCAAACGAAAGACCCACGGACGAACCCATCCATCTTCACCACCCGCTCAACCAGAACCCTCTCGAGGGTGTCCTTCACATGCCATCTCCTTCCTCCTACCTGACCACAACCGGCGGACCCGCCTCAGAAAACAACCACCCGAACCTCGCCCCAGCCCCTTACGTTCATCACTTCGACACATTCTCGCTCGTTCGCGACCTCTCCACCGGTGGATTCTCCGAAGAACAGTCCGTCACCATCATGAAGGCAGTCCGGACCATCCTACACAGTAACCTCGATCTTGCACGCCAAAGCTTGACCTCCAAGTCGGACGTGGAGAACGAATCCTACCTTTTCAAAGCCGCTTGCTCGGAACTCCAATCCTCCCTACAGACAGCCAGAAACTCCGAAATGCAGCGACAGCGGACCTCCCGAACACAACTACAACACGAGTCCGACATTCTATCTCAACGCTTGAACCAGGAACTGGCAGGTCTGAAAGACGACATCAAGGGAATGTTCAACGACCACAAGATGACGACCCGCGAACAACAGCGGAGCATCGACACCTCCGTACAAGAACTCAATTACAAAATCACTGTCTCCCTGAACAGTGACGGCAAGAGCGAAATCGAGGGTCTGCGCTGGATTCTAACAAGGAGAGCTGCTATGGCCGTCGCCACTAGTGCCTGTGAGTCACATTCTATACCCTCCTTACACTTCCCCCTCAAGTTCAATACTAATCTCGTACAGTCATGATCATCTGCTTCCTGAAATACTACTCCGTCCGCAAGGCGCAGGAGAGCGCGGACAAGAAAAAGAAAGAACAAGAACTCCCGACCAAGGGCGGAACTAAGGAGGCCGGAGCAGCAGCTGTCGCCGCCGCCCAGGATCCTCTCCGGCCCAAGTCGGCGCCAGTCCCCGGGGTTCATCTCGGAGAGTCCCTTGGCTGAGCTTTCATCTACCCTCCTTTTATACATTCTCTTATCAAATATTCTCGACTGTACAACAACAACCAAATCATCCATGTCCTACTTATCCTGTATATCATTCATTCCCATATCAGCTATAGATCTTCTTCTTTTGCTTTCTTAGCCCCACATTCACATTGATTTATCTCCCTCCTGGTTTGGTTGGTGAGACATCTCGATACCCCTACGCATCTATTTGTCTTGAGTTCATCTCTCTCTGTCCCTTTCAATTCTCTGCTCTATTTCCTGGATGGAAACGATTGCAACATATAGACGAGTTCCATCATCGTTCATTATCCTTGTCATGTCATGACATGTCATGTCAACATTCCTCATTGTACCTATACCTATACTTCTCTATGATCTTTAAAACAATAACTCTATATATGCAAATAGTAGTATGGGGACATGTACCTCATAAACGCAACGCTCGCCATCATGACCTGTGCACGGGACCCTTTCCTTCCAGGGACTAGCCATTTATCCCTGCGTTGTCGTCATCATCACACCTCGTGCCATGCATGCATGATAGGACATGTCATCCGGCAGGAGCCAGAGACACTCACGTCCTGTCCAATTAAATTTATACAGGGGGTGGTTTGTAACATGAGCAAAAAGATGAACACGAAATAAAAGACAACAAAGGGTAAAGAGGAGAACATGATAAGAAGAAAGCAACGACGCAAAGAATACAAAAATAGTATACTAAAAGTCGAACCTCAGCGCAATACTAGGCATGGCTTGCTGTTCACTGCTGGACTGCGTGCTCTCGCGGGAATGTTTGGTGGCTCCCGAACCGACTTCCGCACTGCGGAGGATTTCCTCGAGTCGTGTCTTCTGGTCCGGACTCATGGTAGCCACGAGCGCTCGGAATACGAGCTGATTGGCCTTGGCCAGTTCCAGCAGATGAACGGCGGTTTCCTGGTAGACGGCCTGTCCGTCACGCTTCGCGCGAGAAAGTAGCGTTGACATGATTAGGGAGATGGCGGTAGGCATCTCGTGTGCAGGGAAAACTGCATTGCTGACACATGCGACGAGCGTGCGCGCAATGACGGTCTTGGAGTTTTCGGGGTCGCTGGGGACGTCGCCATTGTCTGTGGGACAGCCGACGTAGAAGGCAATGAGTCGGGGTAACAGGTAGCGGGCGATGACTTCGCTGGTAGGTGATCTCGGGTTCGAGGTCAGGAGAATGGAGCGAATGCAACCGGCGGCAACGTTGGCAAGACCGACATCCTGAAGACAGTCTAGGAGTTCGTCCAGGACTCGGAAGATGACAGGATCTTGAGGTGGAATAATGTGTCCGCCGCTCGTTAGTAGAATGGCAATGGCGAGGAGCGTGTTCTTCGCGCAGGGGAGGGAGGATTCGGACTCTCGTCGTTGCGCAAAAGTTAGGGTAGTGAGGAAGCGTGTAAGACAACCACGCAACTGGCGAGAGACAACACCAAGATTCTCCGGGTGTTCTGGACTGACTTCGGGAGAGTTCGCTACGCTGCTGATGAAGTGTTTGAAAGTCGGAAGCGCCTGGGGCACAACCTCTGCCTGGCACAGCCCTGTCGCCAAGATAGTGCTGAAGATGTGTAGAATGCATGCGTTGAGGTCATTGCGGATAATTGAGGGGAAGATCGAAGCGACGTTAACCAGCGATGAGAGCGCAAGCCGGATGAGGGACAAGGCATCATCCGATCCAACGTTGAATCGTGCAAGAGGTGTGGACTCGCGAAGATTAGGCAGGAGCCCTGCGAGCACGAGAATTATGCTCCTTGTTAGCTCGAAAAGCTGTTCGATGTCATCGGACAGATGATCGTCTCGGCCCTCGCTGTCCTTGGCAGAAGGATGGTCCAAAGACAGGTTTCGTGCGATCTCCACGATGACATTTTGAATGGGGGTTGTTTCGGTCAACGCGAGACGGTCCAGAGAGTCCATAGTCTCCGAAAAGATAGCATCTTGATAGATCGCATTACCCGAGATGACCGGCCTCAAGATTCTCTTAAGAGCCTGAAGAATCTCCAATCTCTGGGATGGGGTTGTAGACTGGTCAACGAGAGCTTCAAATGCCAGACCAAAGAGAACGAAAAAGAACGCAACAGGCTCATCACGATAGTTGATGTTGTCACCCTTGCCCTTTGGCTCATCGCTGGATTTCTGCTCGTCATCCTTTTGTGTCTTCTCGGATTCTTCCAACTCCGACTTGCCGTCCAATGCGTCAAAGACAAAGTCGATGTCCTTTTCGACCAGACCAGCAATAGCGTCGACAAGGTTCAACCAGGAGTCTTGGTAAAACTGTAACTATGGTCAACATCTTGACTAGTAAGTTCGTCTGCCAGTATTGTCCTACCTTCAAGAGAGTCTCCCGATTCAATGCCGCGTATACCTCGTCCAAATCCCCACTCATAGGGCCAGTACCCAAGCTGCCTGAGATATCCGGCTCGAAACGCAGCCGGGCATATTCCTGGAGCGAAGACAACCATAGCGGAGTGAGCTTCGTGAGATACGGTTGAACGACTTGGTTCAGGTAGTCCTGCTCAATACTAGCAATCTGGAGCCGTGCCCAGGCAGAATACAAGGCCATCTTGACCATAACCCTAGCATTCGGGTTGAGACCTTTGAGGTCACCAATCTCGGTGGTGTCAAGGTTTTCTGGGGGTTGTTAACGGAATTCCACTGCAAGATCATATGGCACTTACTAGAAAAGTTCTCAAGGCCAAGAACCAGGAGCTTCAGGATTCTACCCATTCGATCAACATTGGTCACAATCCCGGTAGCAATGAATGTCGCAGAGACATTGATAGCCTCTGATGCTAATTCCGCAGACGAGTCGGCAGCAAACGCAGGGGTCAGAGCCGATCCGATTTGGGCTTGGTACTGTTCCAGAAGGGATGCCTCGGTGAAGTCTGGATCGGGTGTCTTGCCAAACATCTGATAGAGTTGTTAGCTCAGAGGGTGACTATTTCACCATGCACAAGGTCAACATACTTTGAGAACTTGATCGATAATCCGCAATCCCCAGACTCGAAGTTCAATTACATTGGCAGTGGATGCTGAGAAAGCCATTCGGACGATATCTCCAACCTTCTGCTGCAGCGCAAGCTCGGCAGGGATGGTCTGATCGGGCAGAATTGCCTCTTGTACAAGTGCCAAAAGCTCGCTAAGACAGCTCATGACGAAATTCCGGGTCTGCCACTTGAGAAGCTCCTGACTAGAGACAGCGCCATTTGCCTCTTCTGTCTGACCAGCACCCGCAATTGCGGACGCAAACCCTGCAACTTCATCATCTGGCATGTCATTTCCAGCAGGTCTGATTGCAGATGTTAATGGGATATCTTCGACCTTAACACGAGTCTTGGTCAGCGTGTTGTGGCAGCGCTGTATCCATAACTCCGTCTCCACGAGGGCCGTCTGTTGCAGCCAATCCTGGATCATGCTTCTGAGTATTGGGCAGTCTGGAGTATCATCGAATGCAAGCCAGATTTCCTCTTCGAGGGTCGGAGTGGCAGTGCGGAGCACAGCTCCGGCGTCACGCTTCATGAGATTACTCAACCCCCGAATAGCCACATCTCTCATCAATGGATTGCCAGCGCTGAGCTCATTCTGCAAGCGCTTTACGTATCCAGAAAAGTCAACGTAGCCCGGCGCATACAGGGAGAGATGATCCAAGCATTTAGAGCTTTCAGTGACTAGAGCAGAATTGTCCTCTAGCTGGAATTGACGAAGGAGAGTAAGAATGAGGTTTCGTGTTTTAGCAATGTCCTGAAGATCCGGTCCGAGAACATTGATAAGGGAGTCAACACAGCGGCTGATCACGACAGGGGTGAGGAAGGACATTTCGATGTTGGAGGTCGCTAAAGCTGCCGCCTCTTCATTGTGAGTGTCCGCGTTGTATAGCTGGGCCAGCATTCCGAGGGAGCTTGATACGAAGGGCGAAAAGGTCAGTCCGGCAGAGTTGGCAACTCTTTCGAGACCACCAAGAGCCCAGAAGTGGACGACAGGATGAGGGTCGCTACACAGGGACATCAGAACGCCCACGATGGTCTTAAGATGCAGACCAGCTGCCATACCACCAACTTGGGAATGAATGCAACCCAAGGCAGCAGCACAGCCAGCACGGGTATTGGGCTCGCGGTTCTCCACAATCGTGTCGACCAGCCAGTTGATCTGTGTATTGGTGAAAGCGGTCCCAGAGCTCTCACAAAGACGTCCGAGTGCCTCAACTCCGATTGTGCGGACAGTCAAATCAGCATCGGTTACGAATTTCTGCGTCAGTTAGCTTTCTGTCATAGACTTGCCGTTATAGCTCTGCCAACGAGACTTACCTGAACAAGTTCCTGCAACACCTTATCAGTTGCTGGATTGAGCTTCCCAGATGTGAAACCGGTCTCTTTCACGGAGACTTTGAGAGCATGTAGTAGTGCCACAGCGATATTGACGACCATAGCAGCCTTGCGCCCGGGATTACGCTGGAGACTGGTGGATGAGAGGAAGGTTGCAATTTGTTCTACGCTACCTTCCTGGACCCTTGGGGTGTGCAGGGGGATCGCGACAGAGAATAGCTCAATGGCAGCATTCACAACACCAGTGGAATGGGGGTCGGCCAGAGAAGAATCTTCTTCCCTCCTCGAGTACAAAAGTAGAGAATCATGTTCGCTTGCTTGGCATATAGGGAAAGTCAACTGCAAAGATGTTAGTCCTATTACATATGATCTGAGATAAACGCATATAACTCACAGCTTCATCCACAGCCTGATCCGCTGAATCAACGGCCGACCAAGCAGGTCCGTTATCGGTACCATGCTTGCCAGTAAGGGTGACACGCACGTACTCTCTCGCCAGGCCTGTCATTCCGAAGCCATAGTTGTCACATAGATCCCACAAAGTCTCGAACTGCGCGGTAGATGCCGCGATTGAGCTCTCCAATGGACCAGCCTGGGCCGCATCGGGGTCAGCAAACGAGGAGATGGCCAAGCTCAATAGACTAGACTGAGAAATGACATCGGCATGGCTAACAGGATGAACCCGGAGTAGCTTAGTAAAGCACTGCAGAACACGGCGCCGGACCATGGTTTCGATATCATGAAGCTGCAATGATGGGTGAAGTCGCTGCGACAGTTCGTTGGCAGTCTTTTGTCGGGGCAGATCGTCCAGGAATTCAACTGTGTTTTGAAGCATAATGGCGATTCTCTTGGCGCCGTCGGCAGTTATTAGTCTGCTGTTGAACTCCATGAACACCAACAACGAACTCAAAGCGCATTCCCTCACATGCGCAAGGAAACTCAATTCCAATATACCGCGTTTGCCAGAATTTTCTTGGCTGAGGTGTTTGGGAAGCGCATTCTTCCATAGTAGCGATAATTGAGAGAGATGAATCTTCACGAAACTAGGGCCAAGTGGCATCAACCCTCCGATTAGGATCCAAGCAACTTGAATCTGTGTACTGGCGGCACGTAATTCCGAGTTGCTACTAGTCTTCAGGAGATCGGTCGCCTGGGTGAAGACACGCGAGAACACCTCTACTGAGCCGTAAAGAGGCTGCAGCCGAGATGTACTTAGCATAGCAGAGAGTCCATTGGCATAACCGATGCAGCGACGCGGGGACTGTCGGGGGGTTGACAACTGTCCCACTTCTCGGTTCAGGCTGTTGAGGCAAATAGTGACACAGGACAACAACTGGTGCGGACACGCAAGAACGAAGTTGCGTAAGCATTGAGCTGTATGGATCTGGACAGTATAGCTAGGATGCGGTAGCACTTGGAGCAGAGCTTCGCGACACGGTTCCGCCAGGGTACCGAAAGCAGAACCAAGCGACTCAATCAGAGAAGACAGTGCACTTAAGGCGCTCGTGAGGGAATGTTTGCTCGGCTCACGGCGTTCCTGGATTACTTGAGGATAATCCTTGAGAACATCATTGATAAGCCACTTGGCCGCATTGAGCTGACTAGTCTCCCGGAGTGATTCGCGGCCAACAGTATCCTCAAGGACACTTTTGACATACTTTCTGGTCATAAGGAGTCTAAATCGGTTGTAAGTGACCGTGGGGTGGTTCAGAATATCAAACAGCAGATGATTCGCGATTTGGCCGTAACGTTCCTCAATGATCTTATCCCCAAGGATCCGCAGAACATGCTTGTAGCAGATGGCAATACCTGCGCGGGCCCGGTTGGAAGTTGTGCTCCGTAAATACTGCGCAGACAGCTGACGAAGAAGGTCAGGAAGGAGGAAGAACAAACGTGGCTCTGCCTTCTTGGGAGCAGAGGACTCTGAGATTTCGGCCTCTTCTTCATCCTCTCCAGGTTTAGCAGTCGGCTTCTTTGATAATCTCTTTGCTTTCTTCGACTTCGGGACCGAGATGATCGGGGTATCGGTAGCATGCAACTTAGCCAGCGCACGAGCCAAGCAGGCCGCGGCCGCGTGTCTGACCGGGGCCACTGGGCTGTCAATGACTTTCCATACCAAGGTCTTCAGGTAGTCGAAGTCGTTCGTATTGTCAAAGTATGGTGTCGTGTTTACTAACTGCTCCAGGCAGCGACAGGCATGTACTTGGACGAAGGTTGATTTGTCCCCGGTTGCGGCATTGCGAGCTTGTTTCCAGATGTCGCGCGCAGTTCCTTCGTCCACGGGAACTCCAGTGCCAACCACCACCTTTCGCAGGGCGGCAAAGGTTGACCCACGACATCCAGTATGGTTGCTAGACGCTTTGAGCAGTTTGAGCAAGCTTGCAACGACAACGCCTGATTGCGCAAAGACACTTTCTCCGGCGACCGCAAAGACCTCGCCCATACAATGGGCCACAGCGAACCTAGTCTTTAATTCCGCATCGCTCTTGCCGGTATTAAGAAGCCCTAATAACTCGGTAACCGTCTCAAACAGTATGCCACGATCACCCTTGCTGAAGATTGCCCCGAAACACCTGCCCAGGTTATTGCGGATGACTCGCGTGATGGTCGGCGAGGAAAGCGTGAGTATCTTGAACAATTCCTTTTTCAAGAACTTCTGCTGCGACGATACTTGAGCCTTATCGAGGCCGGAAATGTGTTGAACCAGATCGGAGGTGAAGGTGAGGAGGTACAGGTCCTGTTGTTCGGAGGGGAGCGCATGGAGCTTGGTGATATCAAGCTCCGCTCGGGGGACCGCATGGTTGTCGGAGTTAGTAGACGTAGCGTTTTCCGATGAAGACATTGGGATCGACTATGGCGACTAAAGGGTCACCCATAGGGTTCCCTTTCACAAGGAATGAACAGAGGTGAGATGCGAAAGGGTGAACACGATGCGACCACAATCTGGTGTGACAGGTCGGCCAGACTTTCTATGGGATGGAGATGGGATGGATCCCCCCCCTTTAAGCGGGCACTTGGCCTCAACTTCCGTCCGGGGGCGGTCGCGGAGAAACTGTTGCACCGGCCCCGCTATCAGATCGCGATTCTAGACACTTTTTCAGGGACTGACGCGCTTGCGGGGATGTTCTATCGAAGCTTTCTGCAATGACGACGATCGTATGCAAACGCCTGGTGCAGCAGCGGGTTGCCCGCGCGAGTTGGGTGGTGAGCGATGGTTGCCGTACCCTCACCACCAGCGCTCCGTGGCTTGCAGGACACAATCGATGGTCTCAGATCAAACATGACAAGGCCAAGAATGACAAGGCCAAAAGCAAGGAACGCCAGCTTATCGGCAAGGAAATCAGCAGTGCGACTCAGAGTATGTACTTGAAGAGTTTCGGCAATCAATTCCACGTCATTTCTTGGTATTGATCTCAAGCAGTGTGGGGTCCCGATCCTAAATTCAACCCGCGCCTTACCCTCGCCCTTTCGAATGCAAAGCGAGCAGGAATTCCTAAGACTGTGATCGAAGCGGCAGTTGCTCGAGGACAAGGCATAAGTGTCACCGGTGAAGCTCTGGAGCAGGTCACGGTCGAAGCCATCCTCCCTCATTCAGTCGCGGCCGTTCTCGAGTGTCTGACCGACCAGAAAGCCCGCGTATTGCAAGACGTTCGACATGCTATCAAAGATGCAGGGGGCATCGTCACACCTACTACATACCTCTTCGAAAAGAAAGGCAGGATCATCTTCGAGAAGAAGGATGGGGTGGATCCCGACAACTATATTGACCAGGCTATCGAAGCAGGTGCGACGGACATCACGGCGGATGAACAAGGCCGGCTCCTTGTCTTCACGGAACCTACAGAAACAAAGAGTGTGGGCGAAGCCCTCAGCAAAATGATTGACATTCCAATTGAGGAGCTGGATATCATATGGGATCCCAACCAAGACACAATAGTCGACCTCAAGGATGAGGCGCAAGTCGCAGAAATGGAAGATATCATCAGTGACCTTCGAGAAGAGCCGAGTCTGCGAGATATCTACCTGAACACGGTTCAGCGCTTTTGATGATTTTTCGATTTTGGCGTTCGATGCCTTTCACGGCTACAGCCTGGGCCTTCTCATCCTTTTACCTTACAGTGTACACTAGCTCGGAACTGGCGGCTCGGCGAGCCCTTTCTGTACTATATAACTACGAACTATGATAACTCTGGTGTATGGATTTCGAATTCTTCCAAGAGGAAAGCATAAGTGGGCTTACTTCTGATATCACCTCTACTCTTTTCGCAAAGCCTTCATCGTGCTCCGCATCAAATTACCAATTCCAACGCTTCCTGTCGCGTCAAGCCAGTCAAGCATCCGCACTCTATACTCCTGCCACGCCATCTTCATGCCTCCTTCTTTCTCCAGCGCACTCAGTGCCTTCTGCGTCACTGGCTTCCTCAGCTTGGGCTGCTCATCGCCAATGTTGTTCTCATCTTCGATGTCAGAGAAGCAAGCCGCAGATAAGTTGCACAGTGCCACATGGTGACTGAGAGAGAAGACCGAGGAGATTGTGTAGACGAAAGAGGAATCGCGCTTTCTTTCCTTCTCATTGTACTCACGAATGAATCGCGTCAGCGCAGCAATGGTAGGGGCCGGTATTAAACAGCCCACAGCGTTGGGGTCTTCGGAGTTGAGACCTCGGTTCCGCCATATCAGGTTACAGATGTCCATGATATAACCATTGAATTGACCCACAAGTTCTGTCGGATAGAGCGAGTCTTGAGAGTTTGGTACCCGGAGAACCTGAGAGGTGAGGGAAGCCTCAAAGGACGACTTGTAGCTGGCAAGCACTGAGCACATGATGGAGATGACTGAGTTGATGGGCGTGAAGGCAAGTGTATAAACTGTAGGAGCTAGCGGGACAGTAAGTCGAATGCTCCCATTCGTGGATGCGTGTGTGAAAAGTTCGGCTAGGGTACAGTAGAAGTCCAAGATGGACAATGTGGCGGGCTTGTGTTTCTCATGTTGGGCATCTGTGAGATCCGGCATTGAGGTCAGGCACTCTAACGTCGATAAGGCTAGAAGTTCTGCGTGCGATATCAGGCGGCCCAATGGTTTGAATTCCTCTGTAGTCTGTGAATTGGTCCTCAACTGGATTCCCCATTGACGGATCAAGGCCGAATAGAAATCAAGCAGAGATGTTCTTGATGAAATGGCTCCGTTGAGGAGTGCTCTCTCCAGTGGTGTCAAGAAATCACTGCTCAGAGTATCGAAGTCAAGAACGGGAAGATACACGAGAAGCCCAAGTATCTGCTCTCTGTTGTCTTCGCCATTCCAGGAGATGAGATACTTTTTGAGAAACGATGTGAAAGCGTCCGGTATTTCCTGTACCCATGTAAGCCACCAAGGTAGGTCAGTAGTGACTGAAGGGGAATACCTTCGTGTATTGCGCATATTCAACCGCCAAAGCCAATATGTAGCCCAAGCTCTCATGGTCTTCTACGTCATTTGCCCGCGCGATTTCCAATTGGTCATTTAAGAACGTTCTGAGCCAGTCATTCAACCGGCGATCTGCAACCTCAGAACGAGCCAGAAAAAGGTACTTCTGCGCTAGGTTATTCCCCAGCATGGATATGATCTGGTTAGGTAATTCTATCTTGTCAATCTTGTCAACAAGATGCTCAACACCACGCAGTTCTTCCAAAGAAGTGTGGCTATAAGACACCCTTGATGTCTTCACATCAGGAACAATGGCCTCTACCTTGCTTCTCTTTGCTAGACCGCGATGTACGACCTGGAATGTCGATGGCTGCACTGCCTGCAACTTTTCAAGGTGGGTATCCTGAATTTCCCTGACATGAGCGGTCCATTCAGGGTCCGGATGTTTGAAGAAGGATGCCTTTCTTCCCGTGAAACCGAGGTCACCAACAATAACATCAGGACAGTAGTTTTTGAACACATTAAGTAGAATCAAGAGCTCTTTCTCTTCACCACCAGAAAGGCTGACTAGCTCCATAAGAGCTTGGATACGAAAGGGCTTGACATGCTTGCGCCTCGTGATGAACGAAAGCAATTGGCATAGAGGCTTGCGTAGACTGATCATGTCCAGATAGTTGAACAGCACAGCGTATAGTTTTCCCAGATGAGACTTGTCATCAAGGTAATCGTATACAAGAATGAGCCATCGCACAAGCAGAGCCTGGGTCGCAGGACTGGGCTTTGTTTTGGCAGGACCAAGACAGCACACAACTCGTGTGATTAGTTTGGAGGATACCCTCTCCAGTGGGTACAAGTTCTTGACTAGTGTGGTAACTGTGCCTTGATCAAGAGCATTGTGTGTCGTGAGGAGCTTCAACAAGCGTTCGAGGGCAGCTTGCGGTATGCCGCTCTCGTACGCGTGGGTTGCTATTGTTTTGGCCAACTGGCCAGCATCCGTATAACGTTGTTTTGGAGGTACGAAAGCAACTGGGTATACATTAATGATGCGAACTTTTTAGAATCATGCCTTGTTCACTGGGTTTACCTGCTTCAAGGTGCTGGATCGCATCTTCAAGGCTACTGGGCCTGACTTCAGTGTCTAGTATCATCATCAGCAACTCGATCGTGTACGAACCAGGCTCGACAAACCTCTTTCGGAATCGGACGACATGTCTGTTTCGCAAATAGCTTATCAATATTATGAATCAATCAATATGTTTTTCGTCCTCCTGCCCGATTGAAGCCGTGCTAGACTTTTAAGTGTTTCGCACCACCAGGCGCATCACGCGCAAGACCAAGACTGTCGCACTGAGTAAACAGCTCGCTAGACTCTATTACCATAAAGCGCCCGATAATTTGCTATTTTAGCGCGAGGGATACAGTACGCGGATGTTGGAATCGTTGTTTGCTGTGGTAAGTGGTTTTAATATGTACCTCCGTCGCGTGGGACTGTTTCAGTTGATCGCGGGAAATGGAGCCTGACTGAGAGCGCAACTTTACCATTTCGGGTGTCCAACAACACAACCACTTCCAGGCCGAATGCCAGCGTCGCGGATTGTAACTGCGAACACCATGGACACTTCACAATTATCTCAACTTTTGGCCTCGTGAGACCTTGTTCTGGTCCGTACAAATGTCTTACATTAATGCTTCTCCAAGGCGCCTTAGTCGCAGCTAGTTGATGGGTGATAGCCGCCTACAGTCAATATCTTAACTTCATATGCGCTAAACTGGACTTCTGACGCCCTTCTTTGGGTGGCAGAGGAATTAGTTTACTTTATACTGAAAATCTCGATCTAGATGATCTTGAGCTGTATACAGCTCCTCATTATGCGATTGGTAGTAATGGACATCGTGGGGGGAACAAAAAGGTATGGCCCATAAATGTCTCCAACATCTCAACTATGGACAGTAATTTGGAAATGCATCTAGAAAGAATGAAGCCAATTACGTCTACTTCCTCTTCCTAGCCGGCTGCTTAGAGCTTGCTTTTCCGGAGGCAGTCGCTGTCTCCTTGGCCTTGGGCTCCTCAGCCGGTGTGGGCTCCTCTTCCTCCTCATCACTGTCGCCTCCCTGACCGAACTCATTGACACGCTTGTAATCAACCTTGTACTTCCAGCCTTGGTAAAGCCAGATAAAGAAGATAATATCATCCCGGAAGGTTGCCAATCTGTGGAGCCAAGGCATCTTAACGGTGAAAGCGAAAAGATCATCGATGAAGGTGTTGAGGAACTTGTACGTCAGTGCCTTTCCGGGCATATGAGCGACAGACTATCATAGTGAGTTAGCAAGGTCATTACAAGAGTGGGTGCAAGAACGGAAACATACCTTCAGCCGATAGTTGATGTACAAACTAGGCACCATCATCAGGAAGCCGTAGGCGTAGACACTGCCAACAAGCGTCTCGATGACATAGGAGTACCACGACTTGTGCGTGTTGTAGATCAAGCTGTACACAGCATACGCGGCCAAGAGTGGGACGGCAATGATATACAGCCAGCGGAATGCGATCTCATCATACTCTTTGGTCTTCTGCTCCGTCTCGCTGAGCTTGTGCTTGTCCTCAAAGACAATAACATAAGGCAGGAAGGAGAAAAATGATCCAGCCGGCGGAGGACGCAAGCGCACGTCTACTGTCTTGGTGATCTTCCAGGCTTCTAGCAAGATACCAAAACCTTGACTTGCGAGGATCATCCAAGAAGTGTTCTCACTGTTATCCATCAAGTAGAGGAAAATGACCGCCTGCATGAAGACGTTCGCCAGGATGGTACGAACGGAGGTACCGACAACATCCTTCTTCTTGCGCCAGTGAGACTAATTAGAGTACATACCCATTAGCGTTTGAAACAAAAAGGCTCCGAAAGGGGGACGAAGTGATAAGCTTACAATATCGTTCTTGAAGGCCAGAGTTTCGAAGACCATATGGAGGATCGTAACCACACCAGTTGTGCAGAGCAGGTAGATGTTCGTGTCGAGCAGGACTTCCTTGACCATTTCGAACTCAGTACCGTCGCCGCCACCGGGTGTCTGACCACCGAAAGCCGCCTGCTTGGCGTTTGCCTTTGCGTTCTCATCAACACTTGCCATCATGCTGAACTTCCAGTTCTGCAAGTTGTTAAGAGTGATACGCATGGGAACGGTCTCGACGGTGGAGTTGAGCTCCATCATGTGGCTTCTGAGCTGCCAAAAGGTGTTCAGGAAGACAATCGGATAGTACCAGCCATTCTGCCCGGTGGCATCCCGCGCGCCAGTCGTTTCGAGCTGCATATGCTGTCTAACAGCGGGGTGAACCTGACGGTACTTCTGTGCACCGGAGTCAGGAACAACAGACACGGTGAAGTTCGGGTGGTAGTATGACGCAATGGAGACATCGGGAGTGCCATCATCCTCTTCTTCCTGGGTTTCCTCTGACGAAGCCAGCAGGTTCTTCAACTTCTTCACCTTCTTCTTGGGGAGGTACTGGTTCAAGGGGCGGAAGAAATGAACGGCACTATCGGTGCTATAATCCTTGGCGGTAGGGTCGAGCTGGTGTCCGGTGAGTCCGACAAAGAAATGCGCCCAGAGAGTTCCATTGCGTTGAACCTCCTTGGGGATCTTGATGGTCGTATCAATTTCTCTAGTGTCACTGTAGTTTCCGATAGTAAAGTTCTTTTCCTCCAGAACGAGCGAATCCGATGGGAAAGACTTGAATCCAGGGACAATAATCGAAGGCGAAACGTAGATATTCAGGTCCAAGGCACTATCGGAGGGCCAAATCGGGGTAACGAGATCAGGGACGGGACTGTAGTTGGACACTTCGCTGCGAGGCGGACGCGTGTTGAAAGAAGGCACATCACTAGGCTTCGCTCCTGAGCCGGCGTTGTTCTTTGACCCAAAGAACTGGCTCATCACGAACTGCGCCAACAAGAAGAAAGCCAGGCCCTGAAGGGCACCCTTGAAGCCGGACTAAAGCAAGCAAAAGCGACTGTCAGCTAAACCATCGAATCCAGTACCAAACAAAAGCAGATTGAAGCATACGCACGCTTTGCTCCGGCTCCTCCCTGCGCTGACGTTGTTCCGGCATTGCGACCCGTTAATAGCAAACCTGGTCAGCAAAGATGGAAAAACAAGGGAGAGGGGGAAGAAAGAGGAGAAGGAAAAGAAAAGAGGCCACGAAGGAACACGAAGGCTAACGGCTGGTTGGTTGGTTCTGGCCCAGAAAAGGCGCGGCGTTTTGGCCCTTGGCGGGTCCCGGCGATAAGCCAGGCGGAAGTGGGAAAGGGAAAGCATGTCATAAATCCCTCCTCCGCGGATTTCTCCACATCACCGATCTGCTACGAATCCGCCTAACTTGGAGAAGAAGCACTGAGTCGCGCAATGGGCATGTTAGCCTCATGAAGGTCGGTTTTTATCCCAATGGCGGACAATCAGCCCTCTCCCGATTACTCCCGCCCTCAGTTTCCTGCTCATAATGAGCCGCGGGTGTGGGTTATCACAGCCGGGGATTCCCCCATCGGCATCTCTGTGACGCGCCAGATTTTAATGCATGGCGACTATGCCCTGGTTGGACTGGCGCATTCGAACCTGGATCGCGATGAGTGTCGTCGCGATATGTTCGATGCTTTTCTCGCAGAAATCGAAAGCAATGAGGGTTGGGGGAAGCGATTCAAGGCACTGCCTCTAGACATAAGGTGTGATTTGGATCTCGAACCCTCTCGACCATATGACATAGGCTTATTATTATCTTACAGAATGGTCGGCGAGTGCCAGGCCATAGTGGCGCAAGCAGTCGCTTCCTTTGGCAGAGTAGACGTTCTTCTATGCTGCACCAGCCAAGGTTAGCCTTCAGCAGCCTCCAAACCTACATCTTGCACATCGCTAAATGGCATCGTAGCCCTCATCGGAACAGTGGAAGAGCTCTCGGCCTCACAGCAGACACTAAATCTCGTCCGAGACCAGTTTGAGAGCAACTACTTTGGTCCACTCAACATCATCAAAGCAGCGCTGCCGCACATGCGAAGGCAAAAGGCAGGACACATCACGATCCTCTCCGGCATCAGTAAGCACAACTCCTACCTCCCACATACATCATACAGTATCTGACCAAAAGAACAGCCGCTCACATAGGTACACCCGGACTGGGAATGTACTGCGCAGCCGGATGGGCTCTCGAAGGCTTCTGCGACGTAAGCCTCACCACATGCAATGCTCCATGCCAACCTTATCGCTAACCAACCCATCCACCAGAGTCTCGCATACGAGATCGCCCCATTCAACATAAAACTCACCATATTCCAATGCAGCATCGAGATCGGTATTCTCACAAACCTAGTGACCAGCGTTCCACCCATAGGACCCGTATACTCATCCTCAGCTAATCAGGCACCACTATTCCGCGGGATCATGAACCGACTCGTCTCACGTCTGTCGAGCAACACGCAATCATCCGCAGAAACATCTAATGGATCGAACCAAGGGAACTCTATCGAAGACGGTCCGTTCTCGGCTTCGGAGGTTATATCGACGTATCCCCCGCTCAGTTCGGCGCATATGGAGGTGCTGGTGAGTGAAACTGTCTACGCTATCACAGCTATCGCCGGCCATGAGAATCCCCCGTCACGACATATTGTGGGACAGGAGGGTGTGGCGAGTGTAAAGGAGAAGCTTAAGACGGTTAGTGAAGAGTTGGAGGACTTTATTCAGGCGAGCTTTGCTGTGGATTATGCTGCTGATGAGGCTGGTCGGTCGTCTAAGGACGAAGGTATGATCATGGGTATGGGGACTGGTCATGAGGGATTTTAGTGGTAACGCATGAGATCTCATGTTTCTTGACGTGTTTTGGATAATTGATAGGTAATATTATGAATGAGGAGTCCACTCATGTCTATGGTAGAGGTATCATGAGGGACTTGTACTAGCTATGTTGGCGACACCGCCATGATCTAAAGGAATGTCCAAACAGGGAGAGAGTAAAGCATATTAGTATGTTGGGCGCGTACATAGAAGGACCAGCCATCCTATTTACTTCCCAGCACGTTGGAACCAAGCTTGTCTCACCTCCCATAAACTACCCATATCCTGGTTATTCCGATACGTACGGAACTCTTTCCAAGCATTCCCATTAGGAATGTCCGTAATACGACCATCGACTTCTATAATCCTCGAGGCAAGTGAAGTAAGCCCCTGAATATTTTCAATCAATATCTCGTCCATATTGGCATCGGGAGCGTTCGCAGGCGGTGTCTTCTCCGTATCTTCTGTCGATTCCTGAGGGGCTTCGGGCACTGATACGGACGGTTCGTCTGATGCTTCGCCCGCGCTGTCCGGCTTCTCACTTGTTGCTGTGGAGATTTCTGCAACCTCTGCGGACGAAACGGCCTCTGCCGTTGTTGAAGGGCTGGCGGTTTCTGCTGCCGCTTCTGTCATGTTTTTAGGCACCTCGCTAGGTGACTCAGCTTGGAGATCGGCTTCTGAAGGCTGCGAACGCTGTCGTTTGCAGTCCCCGTGTTCATCTTCACATTTGCGCTTCTTGGGAGAGACAGGCTCTGCCGTGGCACATATATTCCGTTGGACGTTAGAGTCGGATTCAACAGCATCACTATCTTGCTGCCGGTCACCAGCTTCCACATCGGCTTTTGTGTCATCCGCATGGCTTTGGTTTTGCTTGCTCCCGCTTGAAGCAACGGGAAGAAATACACGCTGTCCAGGAGGAATGACGAAGCTCAACCGCGCACCCTTAATGCCCACAATCTAGCGAGTTGTTAGCAAATCTGTCAAGTTCGAATCAAGATGCGATAAAGTCTCCACATACCCTAGCCTCCTTCTCTACCAGAACTCTGTCGGCACCTTTGGAAAAGCATCGCGAGTACTTCCAAACATCGCCCTCGCGAACAACATTATGGTCAATCAGCGTCTTCAACTTCACCTGAGAGCTTTGTCCTGCCAATAGTGTCTTGTCCATCTTCTGTTTCTGTCCCCAGAATTCTTCGAACTCTTCCTCCTTAAACCTGTCAAACGCGCCCGCGGCCCTCTCCTCCATAGCCAGTTCCGCCTGGCGCAACCATTCCGGATCATGGAAACCATTCTGGAGCTCCACTTGAAATTGCCGAATACCTTCGCGCCAGTTATTCGAGTAGCGTAAGAATTCCTGCGGAGGAGGGGGGATCTTCACATCGGCATCATCATCCGTTGGCGGGTTAGGGTCCGGATGTACACTATCCGGAAGAAGTTTTATGATCTCTTGCTTTTCGCTCTCTTCGAGACAGTCCCAAGCTTTGGGGTTGGCAAGTAGGCCCTGTTCAATATTGGTCATTAGCATGCCATTCCCAACATTGCGCCAGCACTATCGATAGTGCCATATCTAGCGATTCCAACATACCACTAAATCCGCATCAACCAACGGTGACTTCGTACTGGTCATCACCTTCTCCTCCTCCCACGGATCCTTCGCGGCTCTTCTAGGATTCCGCTTCGGTCTAGCATTGGTAGTAGTAGTAGATGGTGGCATCGCGGAGCTCGATTCGCCGGCATTACTCTGTTCAGCCGCATTCACAGAGCGAGAGGAGCGGCTTCTGAAACATTCTCGAGGTCAGCGCTCTCTCACTAAGTCAGTGACGGCCTTCCTCAGCGGTCGTTATATGCGTCTTGTTCCAGACACAAGAGGGAAAGAAGAGAATGCAAGCATTAGTTGGTTTATTCGTACCTTGTTGTTGACTGCTGCTTCGCTGCTGAACTGCCGCAGTCGACCGCCTTGCGAGGGCGGGCCATTGTTCCGCGGGCCTGGATTGGAGATCTGGACAATACCCCGAAGTCACCAACTAACCACTGCGTCCACGGAAGGAGTGCTTGATTTGGTGCTAAGACGGTAAATAAGTATCGCCACGATGGTCAGGTCAACACAGATTGCCAGAATTGATGGTAAGATGCTGTCCGGTGCTTGTTCAAGGGGAGGAAGAGTGAGGGGGTGAGCCAAGTGTGCCGTTTGCTGATGTTACGAGACAGGCTTGATGCTGGCGGCATCCGTGGATGATGAGCAGGTTAGTTTGGTTCAGGGCGCATTCACTGCACCATTGTTGCTTGATAGCTGACAATAGGGAATCTTGGTGTTCTTCTCCAGGCTGAAGTGGAGCTCTCTGAGATCAAGTCTCAGGCGAAGATGATCTTTCGCCGATTGAATCGCAATTCGGCGCCGCAAGCCAGTATTGAATCCGGTCAATTTAATCTACAGTATGTTTTGGTGTTTGAAACTTGTACGACGCAAAACTACTCGGTGCAAGTTGGCTGACCACCGGAGTTAGCTATCTTATCAAGGATGATATCTGCTTCCTTTGCATATGCGATCACTCCTATCCGCGCAAGCTTGCGTTCACCTATCTGGCCGATCTCGCAACCGAGTTCACTACCACATATTCCCCGACACAATATCAATCCCCGACTCTGCGCCCATACGCCTTTGTGGAATTCGACACCTTCATCCAGCGCACCAAGAAGCTCTACCAGGATAGTCGCGCGTCGCAAAATCTCGACCGTCTGAACGATGAGCTCCGGGACGTGACAAAGGTGATGACCAAGAACATCGAGGACCTTCTATACAGAGGCGATAGCTTGGAGAGAATGGGTGAATTGTCGGGCCGTCTACGAGAAGACAGCAAGAAGTACAGGAAGGCCGCGGTACGGATCAACTGGGAGTTGTTGGTCAAGCAGGTAGGTTCAAGTCTTGAGGCAACGGCAGACTTGTCGCTAACTTGTCGCAGTATGGTCCTGTCGCGGGTGTTGGGTTTATCTTTCTTTTCCTCATTTGGTGGCGCTTCTTTTAATTGCGGGCAAAACGGCTCCGAACTCGATACCCGCTAATATGATTGTATGCATAGATAATGTCTCTGGTGGTTGCAGGACACCATCCCCATAAGCCCAGGACTTGAATCAGCTCGAACAAATATCTGGCAGAGCTGTTGGACTGTATATTCTTAAGTCGTCGCATAGTTGTAAGAGCTTGAACAGCGAATCCGTATCCTTTTATCGCACATGGCCCGTGTTGCAAATGACGTCTTCCTAAGGAGAATCCGCAGACGGTCGGATGGTGCCTCGTGGCGTATATGAGGGGCCTGGGTGATGAATAACTCGAGGCAGGTAAACCTAGATTTCATCTTCCTCTTCGTCAAAATCGTCCTCTTCACCCATGTCGTATAAGATGCGTCCTCCTTCACCAGGACCGTCGCCCTGCTGGGCATCGAAGTACGGCAGCACCACACCCTCTCGATCCCGTCTCTGTCTTTCGGTAAGGCGCAGTTCGAATGTTGATTCGGGTTCTTCTTCGCCCGCACCAGCGTCCGGCTCCTGTGGCGGGCGGTACAAGGGATGGTCGTCCAGCAACGTCACAATCTCCTTCAGGTATTGGGGAGGGTAACGAGAAGCGGGAGGAAGGAAGTACCATTCCAGAACGCCACGACCACTCTTCCTGCGGTGCTCCAGCTCAAGTACAATCCCCTCTGATGCGTCGTGGCCACTCGGTTTGTCTAGTCGGCCAAGGAGCACGCCATCTTGCTCTTCTTCAAGACCAAAAACAGGCGCGGCCAAACTCCGATCACGTGCCGCTTTCTGTGCGAGGATATGCGAGAATGAATGGAGTGTGATGATTGTAGTTGCAAGGTACGTGAGCATCGAGAAGGGCGAAGGTGCGTAAGGCGAGAGAGCAGGTGGGCTGGGAACATCCTGATGGAAGTTTACCACGAGCGACACGTCCACCTTGGGAGCCGTGGGATTCGACGGGATCAGGAAGGAGCTGAGGAACTGTGATATATGGAACTGAGGGTCATTCTTTTTCGAGTGTAGAAGCGGGTTAATGGCGTCGATGAGAATGAGTCTCCCTTTGATATGTTAGCCGCTTCACGATACAAGCTCAAGGGAAGAAGCTCGGGACAGGCATACTTCGAGAAGGGCTGTTCGACGAGACGTTTTGGTAAGCAGCGCCAACTGCTCTTAGGGTTTCCAAAGGACTCTTCCGGCGAGCGGAGATGAATGCATCGACACCGTCTGGGGCTTTCAATGTTTCAAAGGCAAGGAGGGTTACATGGGTCCTGGAAAGCTGTTGCGACAGTTAGCCAGATCGGCAAGGATGACAAAACAGGCAATTAGTCAATGGCATGGAGGCCATTTTTAGAAGCCTCTGTAGCCGACTTTCCACTGTACAAACAACTTCACAGTGCTTAGAGCAAATAGAAGGCCTACCTTTGCACGTCGAATGTATTCTTTGGTCAGTGGGGTCGCGGGCTGCTCTAGTGAGTCCAAGACCAAAGTAAGCGGTGATGCAGTGTCCCTCAGGCTAAGAAGCTTTGAGATCAAGAGCAAATTATGGGTCTGTCGGTGAGAAGTGCTTGCGGGCGCCATAGTTGGAAGTTAGGTAAGGGCGACATGCAGCGGAAGATCGGGAATGGGAAATTTGAAGAAAATCGGATTCGGTTCGGCACAAAAGATTGCGGGGTCCATGAATCAATCGAGCTATGGAGGGGCGCCCAGGATTTCCAATGAGCGATCTCGCTGGCGTTTAAGCTCAGGGCTGTCGGCCCACCCGCATGATGTACGTACTACAGCAATAACATTCGGAGAATTTAGAGCGGTTGATGTCAAAAGCTTTACAAGGGGATCAATTTATACTCCAATAAAATATAGTATGTTTCTACCAGAATTCCAATTTTGATCTTCTCTATGCTTAAAATAATTGTGACCTGCTATTGAGAACATACATCACAGGTGATAATAAGTAGTAGAAATCCTCTTTGCCATAACCATATGTGTCACTATAGACACTCTTACTGACTCATTGAATAGTACTATGATGATTCTTTCTATAGTCATTGAGTTAATAGGGTCTATATGAACTTGCGGAGACCAGGCTACTGTGATGTAGTGTACTATCGATACTACTACCACTACTAGCTGAGGTTGAAGCCCAACACTCAGTAAGTAGTATCACTGGTCATTCTCGCCGTACTAAATGCAAAATTAGTGCTGCGGATACTACTACTTTTACTAGTAGTGTCGTCGAAATAAAGCTTTACGAGGCTTTTCCACTGTCTCAAATTAAGAATATACTTCACTGGATCACCAAGTTGGCCAGAGCGGCCACATGCTAACAATTGAAACCTGTCTCAGCTATCAGAATTACTTTTCATTGAGAAATTACCCCCAAATTAGTATCAAGTCAGTTCAAGCTGTCATGTGAGACTTCCATAGTGGGAGTTGTATCAACGAGCCACTGGACCTACCTAGGAATTTGGTTATCGCATATCTCCGGCAACGATAAGCTGGCCGCATCAGTTCCCTGAACAACTTGGTTGTGTGTCTCAATCTCGCGCTTACTCCCCTCTTGTGAATGAAACTCGCCAATCTATAGAATATCATAGCAACATAATACTACAAACAATTTATCCATTTCTTTATTTATCTAGTGAATGGCCTGGGTCGCAGAATCGGCGGTGGTTCAAGGCCATCGGACTAGCCGCGCAGTAGGTCGAAACCGGCTACCGTAATAATCTTCACGCCTTCAATCTCGGGACCTGACTTACGGAGCACTTTTTCTCATTCTCAGTCAAGACTACAACCACTGCGTGGCGCGCTTATCTCTATCAATTGACATTGAAAATCAGGGAAGAAAGGGTAATGGACTGATTACTTTGGATATCTCTTTACCTGCCGCCACATCCCCTATCCCCCTTCCCTTTGAACCGCTCCTGCGGAATCACACGTGCACGAAGAAAACAACACTCCATCAGCACAACAATTCCCACAGATACCCGGCCTCAAGATGACGGAACCACCAGCGAAACGTGCTCGCCGTGTCGATAGCTCAGCCATGTGGGACCAAGACGACCGGAGGACACGTTCACCCGAAGTAGAACCAGATTATACCAGAAGCCCTCGCCGGGAGCATATTGCGAAAGATGATGGACGACGCGATGGGCCTCGCGATGACCGGAGATATCGTTCTCGTTCCAGAGATAGGAGGGACAGGAGGCGAGAAAGAAGCCGGTCGAGGGATCGCCGTGACCGCGACCGCAGAGACAGAGACAGAGATGGACGGGGAATGAGGGACAGAGAAAGAAGTGTCAGTCGGGATAGGCACTATGATAGACGCGGTATGCCAAGATTAAAACCAAATCCCTCTGAACTACAGATGCTAACAACGCTTGAAGGCTACCCTTCGAAAGGAGACAGGTTCAGGTCGCGATCACCTATTCCGAACGGCAACAGGGACCGGTCGCGGACGCCGCCACCTCGCGGACCCCGGAATGACCGCAGGCACGATCGCAGAGATCATAGAGGGCAGACAAACGGTGCTACGGATGCGAAGTCGGGTGTGAACCGGCACAAAGATGAGATGGATGTGGACAGTGACGGTGCTGTGGGAGAAGACGATGTCGAGGCAATGATGCGCCGCAGCATGGGATTCACGAAATTCAGGAGCACGAAGAACACCAAGGTTCCCGGGAACGACATCTATGGCGTCCGCAAGGAGAAGAAGACGGAGTACAGACAGTACATGAATCGTGTCGGAGGATTCAACAGACCTCTCAGTCCCTCGAGGTGACCAAAAGCTTCTGTCTCCTGGCTACCTTCACGATATCATCGGTCGTCGCTTGCTCATTTTCTTAAATTTGCACTTTCCATTTATTCCACATCTCTAAATGTTTTTTTTGTTGGGGCGATATCAATTTTCATGCATGGCTGGAGTCAAGATCTATGGAGGGCTTTTTCTTTTGTTGTCGCTCGACTGTTTTTTTCAAGCAAATAAGATACCTTTCAAAGCCTGTCTATATCCTTGCATTGGTTCTTAGTAGGTCGAATCAAGGCAGATGTAATATAATCAAGACTTATCAGGATCCTCGGCACATGACCTCTGTGACGTATAGGCCCCTCTTTAAAAGACTGGCTTCCGACACCAATTCGACTCCCCGTCATTTACTTTGAATTTCTCGTCATCTCGCCGTCGTGGCTTCTCTGAGGGCTTTAGCATCAAGGATTGCGCCATACCACAAGATGTCAGCCTCTGGTGAACGTCGTGAAATTGTAATCGTTGGTACGTGTGCGCCGCATGCGCATCAATCTACTTATCTCTATCTACCCCGCACAGCCCGGAATATGCGTGCTAATGGCTCTTTCATTAAGGTGGTGGTATCATCGGATGCTGCTCAGCTTATTATTTGACCAGACATCCTTCTTTTGACCCTTCACGGCATTCGGTGACCCTCATTGAAGCATCCGACATCGCAGGAGGGGCGTCGGGCAAAGCAGGAGGCCTTCTGGCATTGTGGGCTTACCCGAGCAACATCGTCCCACTGAGCTACAAGTTGCATGCGGACTTGGCTAAAGAGCATAATGGCAAGGATCGATGGGGTTATCGAGAAGTCAATTGCGGACAGCTCATGGCTAAGGGCCGTCCTCTCAGCGACAAGAAAGACGCCAGCGCAGGAGCGAGTGGGAGCTCGGTGTCACTACAGAAGCGGAGCTCCGATGCCATGGGTAAATTAAAAGCTGCAAAGTTTCCCAAGGATCTAGACTGGTTTGAGCCTGAGGCTGTGAGAAGCTACACAAGCATGAGTGATCCCGGAGAGACAGCCCAGGTTCATCCTTATCTCTTCACGACTTCTATCGCTAAGCTCGCCGAAGAGAAGGGTGCAAAGATAATACTGGGCTCCGTTACCGGCATCGACTATTCCGGAGATGCGGTCCAGTCAGTATCGTATACTGACAAGAAGACGGGTGAATCGCACAGCATCTCAGCAACAGACGTTGTTGTTGCTGCCGGTCCCTGGACGAGGTCGGTCTTGCCAGAAGCCCCCATCACGGCGACTCGCGCACACAGTGTTGTTATCCGGCCAGTTGAGCCAGTCAGCGCATACACTCTTTTCACCAGCATTGACCTCCCGGCCAACTTCGACCCGACGAAGCCATCTCGACCTGATGAGGCCTCGCCGGAGATTTATGCTCGCCCAGATAATACAGTTTATGCATGTGGTGAAGGCGATCACGTTGTTCCGCTTCCGAAAACCAGCGCAGATGTGGAAGTAGATCAAGTGCGATGCCAGGATATCATCAACCAGGTCGGCAGCATCTCTGATCGACTCCGTGATGGCGAAGTCTTAGCCCGGCAAGCTTGTTATTTGCCTAATGTGGCTGCTGCACGCGGGGGTCCATTGATTGGTCATACTGGCACCAAGGGGCTATACCTTGCTGCTGGCCATACTTGCTGGGGCATACAAAACGCCCCGGGTACCGGCAAGCTGATCAGCGAATTCGTCTTCGATGGTGCAGCTAAAAGTGCGAAGATCGGTTCACTGGATCCAAGGAATTTCCTGTAGAATAGAAGCCTGTAGATAGTATTCTGCACGTCAAATGCATAAATTGCAGGTAGAATTATAGTTCTCTCTAGCAGGAGCTTATTGCAGGCTGCAGGACCCATTGTCGGGGGGTGGAGCTTGGGCCACGTAATTTGCGGAGCGGAGGCCGGCCGCTCCAGCAGATGCCAGATAGTAACAACAAACGCGCATTTCCCATGAACTGAACCGCATCGGTGTCAATTTGCCCCCTCCATGATTATCCTCAGTTTCTGAGGTTTGAATTTAGCTCTGGATGCTTTCGATATAGAAAATGCATCTTTCTAAGATATCCGCATTCTTAACGCCGGTACTCAATGCCGCTGCGGTGCTTTCTAGTCAAGCTCCGGCCGATGATCTCTCCGTTCTAAGCAGCGAGGTAGCGAGAGCCAACAACCAGTCTTTACTATGGGGCCCGTATAAACCGAACCTCTACTTTGGGGTTCGCCCTCGCATCCCGAACAGTCTGTTTGCAGGATTGATGTGGGCAAAGGTGGACAATTATGCCACGGCGCAACAGAGTATGTGTCCGGAACAAGCAAACCGGTCTCTTCCTTCTAACAATTGCATCCGCCCAACTGTGAACTGACCTTTTTCAAAAGACTTTAGACATACCTGCGAGCAGAATGAAGGCATGGCTGGCTATGGCTGGGATGAATACGACATTCGGAAGGGTGGCCGCCAGACAATTCATGATGCCGGAAACTCCGTTGATCTGACCATCGATTTCGTGAAGGTCCCCGGTGGACAACATGGAGGCAGCTGGGCTGCTCGTGTGAAGGGTGTTCCCCGCGAAGATGCTGATCCCGATCAGCCCACAACCGTTCTATTCTATGCAGGCTTGGAGGGACTTGGCAACCTGGGCGTTGAGGGCCAACCTGAAGATCCTCACGGCTTTGCGGGTGATGTTAAGTTGGGTGGCTTTACAACGGATCTCGGTGATTTCTCGATCGATGTTACTTCTGGCCCTGAGAGCAACGAGTACCCGGAGCATGGTCACCCAACCTATGACGAGAAGCCCTTGGACCGTACCTTGGTGTCGAGCTTGACCATGCACCCGGAGCAGCTCTGGCAGACTAAAGGTTCGGCTCCCATTGCTCGATGTTGCATTACATGCATTCTGGGTAACAACAGCTAACTTTATGCGCAGTTATCATGTTCACTCAGATGAAGAAGGAGGTCGACGAAATGGTCGAGAAGTATGGATCGGAGAACCCTCCCCCTCCCTACCAGCTCTTCACCATCAAGAATGAGCCTGGGGATGGTAATATGCATCTGGTGCAGAAGGTCTTCAAGGGCTCTTTCGAGGTATTTTGTGCAGGATTGCCCCACTTATAGATTGTTACTCACTGTTGCTAGTTCGATATTCTTTTCTCTTCTGCATCTTCCCCGCAGCCTATGACTTGTGAGACATTTTGCCCTCGACCTGGATGTTTATCCTGTACTAACGAGTCTGTTTAACAGCCGAGCTTCTCACTGAGCAGATCTCAAGCGCCTCTCTTGAGTTCTCTGAACGGTTTGAAAGCATCCACCCCCCGCAAGCGCCATTCGATACTGCGGAATACACCGAATTCTCCAAGTCCATGCTCTCGAACCTTGTCGGTGGCATTGGATTCTTCCACGGAACAGACATCGTTGATCGTTCGGCCGCACCGGAGTATGACGAGGAGAATGAGGGCTTCTGGGAAGAAACTGCAGAGGCTAGGGGTCGGGCACAGCCTATTCTTGAAGGCCCGAAGGATCTCTTCACTTGCGTTCCCTCCCGCCCATTCTTCCCTAGAGGCTTCCTCTGGGATGAAGGTTTCCACCTGATTCCTGTTATTGACTGGGATACAGACCTTGCGTAAGTTTCCGAAATCCAGGTCTCACAGCATTACTTGCAAACCCACTAACTCCAACAAGGCTTGAGATCGTCAAGAGCTGGCTTAACCTGATGGATGAAGATGGTTGGATTGCCAGAGAGCAGATTCTCGGATCCGAGGCTCGCAGCAAGGTTCCTCCGGAGTTCACGATCCAATACCCTCATTATGCCAACCCCCCGACTCTTTTCATCATCCTCGAGGCTTTCATCGATAAGCTGGATGCGAAGAAGAACGCTTCGATGCAGACATACGCTGATTCTGGAGCCTCTGACAACCTCCGCTCTATCTTTGTCGACCAACCCGAGTTGGGTGAAGCCTTTATCCGTTCAATCTACCCGTTGCTCAAGAAGCACTACTACTGGTACAGAAGCACCCAGAAGGGCGATATCAAGTCCTACGACCGTGAGGCATACTCTACTAGGGAAGCCTACCGCTGGCGAGGACGCTCGGTCCAGCATATCCTGACTTCTGGATTGGATGATTATCCTCGGCCTCAACCTCCCCACCCTGGTGAGCTGCACGTCGACCTCATGAGCTGGATGGGCATGATGACTCGTGCTCTTCGTCGTATTGCGGTGACCATTGGGGAGACAGAGGACGCCGAGGTGTTCAAGACCTACGAGACCGCCATCGAGCGAAACATTGATGATCTGCACTGGGATGATGACGCTCGTACTTACTGCGATGCGACTATCGATGAATACGAGGAGCACGTCCACGTTTGCCACAAGGGTTATATTTCTATCTTCCCCTTCCTCACTGGCATGCTGGGCCCGGATAGCCCCCGCTTGAAGGCCATTTTGGATTTGATTGGTGACCCGGAGGAGCTCTGGAGCGACTATGGTATTCGCAGCTTGAGCAAGAAGGACCAGTTCTACGGTACTGCTGAGAACTACTGGAGAAGCCCCATCTGGGTTAACATTAACTACTTGGTGCTTAAGAACCTCTACGTAAGTAGTTATCTACTCCAGACACAACTGTCGCAATAATGCTAACCTTTCATTCTAGGATATTGCCATCGTTTCCGGCCCTCACAAGGAACAGGCTCGTGAGCTGTATTCCAACCTGCGCAAGAACCTTGTTGAGAATGTCTTCCAGGAGTGGAAGAAGACCGGATTTGCCTGGGAGCAATATAACCCCGAGACCGGAAACGGACAGCGGGCCCAGCACTTCACCGGCTGGACCAGTATGGTGGTGAAGATGATGTCCATGCCCGATCTGCCCGCCAGCGCGCAGAAGGGCCATGATGAGCTGTAAGTCCATATAAGCGAAGTATGTATGGTATAGTTTAGATATCCTGGAGTATCATCAAAGTCTGTACAATGTTAAATCCCAAACGCCGAGAAAGTCATGCAAATCGAGGATTGGCGACTCTAGTTTCAGCGTCGTCGATGGTGGTCGGGAGAATCCCTTTCTCTCGGGTGAGCGCGATGACGATCCTCTCGCGGTCTCCTATGGTCGTCACGTCTCCGGTCTCTACTCCTTGACCGTGATCGCGAGCGTCTTCTTCTGTGCTCGCGATCACGATCGCGCGACCTACTTCTAGATCTGTGGCGATGACTGCGATGACGTCGCTCACGCTCCTCACCGTGCCTGCGATGCCTGCGCTCTCGTTCCCTGTCCCTGTCCCTATCTCTGTCGCCTGGGCGGTCTCGCTTTCGGTCCCTCCCCGGGCTTCGACTACGGCCGCTGCGTCGGGACGAGCCATACCCAAGGCCCTTTCCTTCTTCCTCATCGTGATCTTCTGTAGCCTCCTCCTTTATTGTCTTTTGTCCATCTTTGTCCCCAAGAGGCACCAAGTTGGCATTGTCTGACGCCTTCGGCGGTATCGGAAGACCTAAAGCTCGTGCCATCGCTTCTTCTTCAGCTTCTTTGACGCGCTGTTTCTCCTCACGTTCCCTTCTGGCCTGATCTTCGTCATCACCGTCTCCCTTTGCGTACCACATTAGATCCTTTCCCTGCTGCCAGCGTCCGACAGGAGCCATGACTGAGTGGCCGAGATAGTTCTCGCGATGCGCGGAATCTTTGACATCGGACCATTTGAAATCGCCGCGGCCGCCGCTGGGGGTGACAGTTAGTTTAGGATATTATCTCATGATAAGGGTGGGTAGAATTGGAGTGACTAACCGGCTGCCTTCTTTCCGAACACCTGCGACGAGATCCATTTTTGAGAATTAACCCAACAGGAAGTAGTGGTTTGAAACACGTCGGGGAAGTATCCCAGGATGAATCGGGGAAGTTGAAGCTGAAGCTACCGGAGAACCACCGGTGGCACGTGCGTATCTTTGTGCCTAAGGCAGCCAGGACGGGCTGAAGGTGACCTCATATCAGCCCGGCTGTTTTGAGGCACAATCCGATTTGTGATGGTCATCTACCCGGAGGTGAGTTCCTGAGCAGGAACTTCTAGATCGCTCTACTCTTGTGGTATGTGTCTTGGCCAGACTCACCAGTCCCGCCGCAGCTTCGGACAACAAACCCGGCCATCGTTCGACTCCATGTGATGTCACCGAGCTTGTTATTCACTCCAGAACTGCCCCTCGACGCCTGTGTATGTCGGTAGTCATCTTGCCGCCTTCAACTTCCCCCGATCCGTACACCTCAAACGTGAGTGGTCGATCGTCGGAACTATACTTCGGCACACTTTGTCCTTGTATCCAGCCCATCTCATCCTCCCCGTAAGCGACTGCGGGCTGCCGACATGGCGTTCGGTAGCGATGCTGGTAAGCTGCCAAAAGCGCGGCCTCGAGATGGTCTACAGCTTCGGCCTTTGAATGTCGAGAAAGGGTCCAAAAGAGTATGTTGCTACCCCTCTTCCACCGTCATGAAAGCTGCTCCCAATGCGCAACTGGACCTACAAGCCCTGCTGACCCTCCCGCCAAGTACTGTTCGTATGTTTACTGCTGCCATGATCCGAACCGCTGTCTGTTGGCGATGCTGAACGAAACTGCAGCGCAGATGATACCTTCCCTCCTCAGACCGCCACTTGGAGGAACAACTTGGTATTATTGCTGCCTTCCTTATTCTGCGTGAGTTCCATGTGCTAATCCTGCTGAAGATGGCGCTTTCCCAACGCCGAAACTTGTTGTTCGTCGCCTGTAGTCACCAAATCTATGTCTGGGAGCCATCAGGGTCGTTTCAGACGCTGGGAAACAAACCCGAAATGATAATAACTCCAGTAATGAAAGTGCCTCATGCTAGCGGCTATATTGCACCAGCTTCGCCACATGCAATCAACAATCTCCTTGTGGATGATTTAGGTCGAGACGAGGTCCTGTTACTTGTCACTGATTCCGGCAACGTCTGCGGTTACCGGGTCGAGGCCATCTTCTCTGCCTTGAAGCGAGCGGCAGAAAATAAGGAAGAGCGTCCCCTCGATGGATCCCAGGTGGATCCGTTCTTTGTGGAATTTGTTCAAGCTAGTGCCTGGGGCCTGGCTATCCATAAATTCGCCCGCCTCATTGCAGTGAGCGCGAACACGGGTCTCATAACCGTTTTTGCCTTTGCACTCGTGAATCCCACTTCGGATAGCAGTAGCTCGAGCTATCACCCAGACGAAGATGATGATATGATCGATTACGGCCAGACCTGGCTGGAGGTCAGGACTAAGGACCAGTTCAATCAGCTGCGGCATCTGATGCCAGCCAGACACCGCACACGAAATGTCAAGCTGACTTATACCGGCCATTACGCTAATATCCCTTGTGTTGATTTCTTGAAGTGCGATCTCGACCCTAACGGCAATTGGATGGTCAGCACAGATATCGACAATAGGCTGCTTGTATGGCGGGTATGGGATAGTCTTGGCCCATTCAACGTTAATCACTTCAATGATGTCTCTTTCAAGTTCTTCCCAGAGACCCTACGTTCTGAGTACAGCTCCATCCCCAGCTTGAGCACTAGGACTCAGACCACTGACAAGGAAATAGTGAGCGTGGCTGGTCTGTAATTGCCCTCGACCCGCGGACCTTCCATCGTGTTAAGTCTACTGAAGAAGCTTGCGGTGGCCCACCCATTCGCCGGGCAAAGAACGGCCGGACCGTTTATGACCTGACGAGAGCGAACAGTCGGATACCGAACGCTTCGCAGATATACAACTTCTTCCCACCCGCAGTGAAGATCGAGTCAGAGGAACCTGTTTTGCCCGACATATTTGGAGCCGACTGTTGCATCAGCAGACGAAACGGCGCCTCCCAGGCTGCTTTTGCTGACGGCACTTCAGCGGCACTTCGTCGGTATCCAAGCGATGGCGCGTCTGCAGAATTTCTCGATGCCAACGGCTTGTCCACGGCCACGGGAAATATTCGTCCCTCTGATTTTGCCGACACATTCAGCCACCGAGCCGTCAACGGGTCTGTATATGGCGACAACTTGAGCCGCGACGGCTCCGATGTGGATGTTGGGGCGCATAATGCAGCAGGTAATGGGCATTTCCAGTCACTAAATCGCACAGTTCAGAGAGTTGACGCTCTTCATATAGGCCCGGGTCCCTTGACCACACCGGAGTTCCTTCAATTCGCACTTCTCGAGGCTCTTGGCGGCGAAGCTCCCGGCACCGAATTCTATGAGGACGAAATAGATTATTACCTGGCTGGAGGCACTTACAGTTCCGATCATGAGCTGGATAATGCCGACAGTAGTTCCTCCTACAATAGCGATACATCAGCAGCGGGACCTATCCCATACCCACTACTCGACGGTGAGTTGGTATACTCTCAGCTTCCCCCCCCTGTAGACATTGTCCTGTTGATAACATTTCTGATACGAATCCAGCAGGTTCCCGATTTCCCATCCTACACTTCTCACAGACAGACATCCGTTTGATACCCCATCCATTTGCAAACTACGCCACAGCCGTCTGCGGCGACCCTCTACGACAACCCTTCACCCACCCCGTCGTCTCCATCCGAGCCTGCGATCGCTTCAACATGGTCAAGTATGTCCCAGAACATGGCATCGTGATCGCCGCATCCCAAAAAGGCCGCGCAGCCGTCATAGCCCTCACGGAATCCGAAACCACTGGCATATCATTCCGAGTCGACTGGATCGTACCACTCGAGAGCCAAGAAAAATACGGCGACCGTCCTCTCATCCCCATCTTAGGAATGTGCGTCAGTCCCATCCAAGGTTTCGAATTTCCACCAGACGTGCCCTACATCCCCCGCGACGTCAAGCCCGACGACCTCGCCTTCCAGTTCAAGTACCTAAGTCACGACGAACACAACTCCTCCCTATCAAGCAGCGTCATGCTACAACAGAATTCCTTCAACGAAGAACTCAACAACTCCGAAGTCGATCCCAGTGAAACTGCCGCTGCCGATGACGACAGCCCCCAACCACCCCCGCTCAGCTTACCTGAATGCCACGCCCGTGCAAGTAGTGCCTACCAACCCGAGGAAAGTTGGCGCGGCTGGAACCCATCGCGCCATTACCGGCTCATGCTCATGTACGCAGACCACACCATCATGAGCTACGAGTTCTGGTATAAGTGGAACACTACAGATAGTGGTCCAAACGGGCAGAATCTCGACGAGGAAGATGATATTCTCCTTGTATAGGCCCTGTTCTGGCCCTTATATGCAACCAATTCTGATATTAAAATTCAAAATGGTATGATGAAAAGTATTAAGGCGTGAGCGTGAGCGTGAGCGTGTGAATCATCGATCGTTTCGCTCCTCACTTCGCATTCATGAAAAAAGGGGCGTTATTTGGAGCGCGTTGATGTTGTTGTTGTTATTCATGTCACTGAAACTGTTTAGCACAGCGCTGTGTGTGTTCATGGATCTTCTTCGAAGTAGGAAGGTCCAGGGGGTGCTGGGGTCCTCTATCTAAGACTGGGTTACGTTACTCGATGGAAGTTTTTTTTTCCTCTCTGTTATTTGGTTTCTTATATTTCGGGATCTGAGGCCCCTCACCATTTTCTTTTCTATTTCCGTGGTCTCAATGGACACATCTTTTGACTCCGATGTGTGTGTATCTATGTGGTTTGTACGGATGTATGGCTTACTTTACCCTATGGTGTAATGGAGATGTAATGTTCAGATTGGGAAGAAATGTAACAGAGTAGAGGATTAAATGGAAATTGCTTTCTTTTTTTAAAACAGAGAACATATCGTGATATACATGCCAACGAAGATCAACACGGCTTTGAATTGAACTTTGGATGTTGAAATGCAATGTGATGCAAAACAGATAAAGGATGTCCAATACCAATGAACATTTTCGCTAATGCAGGATGCATGCATAGTCATAGTCGTCAAGGTCATAGTTAGATAAATGGCAGCTTCGCATAACGTACATGAGTCGTGATACGGTATATCCATGAATAAGAAGTATAGATACCAAGAAGAGGTATAGTCGTGGTGAGAGGTTCCGTTATAGTTAGACCCGTGGAAATGACGGGGGCGTTGCTAGAAATCATCATCTAGCTCGTCACTGTCCCATTCGTCTTCCCGGTCATTCAGGACCAGGTCCAGAAACCTCTGGAGTCCCGGGCGTCTGACTTGGGGAGGCTCGCCATCTGGACCACGGCGAACCTCGGCCATTGCTCGTGCTTGAGCTTGCCTTTCGGCGGCGGCTGCTCGGCCTGCGGCGTCGAGATCGTTGGCGTTGTTTCCACGATGGCGATTGCCCCCGGCTGCGACGTTGTTGACTCTTGGAGGGACCGGAGCAGGGGGTGGAGGTCGTCTGCCAAGCTCCCAAGCTACGAGGTCTTCGTCGTCGCTGCCATCGTCGAAATCGAGCAGTTCGTCGGGAACACGATGCAAGGCTGCGGCTCCATCGGGGTTGATGCCGTCGCCACCTTCCAGATCCCACAGCCGGTTGAAGCATCCACTGTTGATGTCATTGAAATGGCGGTAGGGGTTGTCTTCGCAGAGCCAGCTAGAGCAGAGATAGCAGAAGTGGGTGTCACATTTGAAGCATTTCATATGGTTGCAACCCATTTGCTTCTGGCATGGAGCATCGCATGTCGGACATGCCGAGGTGTACATACGCAGATACTCCTCCGTTGCTTTCTCCTCAGCGGAGAGCTCTGCTTCACGGCGAGGAAAGCACCGTACGAGTTCGCCGTGCCAGCCCTTCTTGCAAACACAACAGAAGGCATAGTTGCAATCTTCGCAGATGGCCACACGCTCGGACATTGGTGGTAGCTGAGCTTCCTCCCCTAGGGGGTCGAACACGGGTCCCTCTTCATCTTCATCATCGGAGGCGTCGAGGTCGTCTGTCATTGGATCCACGGGCTTAGGGTGCCTCTTGGATCGCGCAGCTCCTTGACACCACTGCCGTGGGCAATACACAGTCGACTTGTCGGCCTCGAGCTTCTTCTTCCGTTTCAAGAAAACATAACGCTGCACTGTCTCTTGTTCCAATGGGATCTGAAGGAGCTCGCTGGGGCTCAGGGTTCGATCTTGCTTTTTGCGTTTCTTCGGGCGGGCATCGGTGGAAGAGGCACTGTTTGATTCTTTACCGCAGCCAGGAGCCAAGCACTTGACACCTTCGACATCACCTTCCGTTATACAAGTGTTGTAAAAGTCTTGAAGGCATGGCACGCAGAAGACATGCCCACAGAGCACGAGTCGGTGGCAAATCGTGCCCTTCTTGGGTTCGAGACAGACTCCACATTCAAAAGTCTCCTCTTCGAACCGTTCCCGTTCGGCTTTGTTGTTGAAGTCCAGCAATGCGATCTTTAGCTCACGGGGAAGTTGAACTTCGCCACCGGATATGTCGCCAACCCCGAAAGCCGACTCCCCCAGTTGCTGAAGATGGTCAATATATGTATATACCACGAGGTCCTTGCCACATTCCTCCCAAAGACGTTTTCCGTCATCCAAGAGACCCAATAATACGGAAGGTGGCAACCACGGAGGGCTTGTTTCAAGCCTGAAGATGGGCGCTTCTTCGGTAGGGTAACCTTGGGGGAGCTCGATTTCGAGACAGAGGGGTGGAAGATGTGAGAGTGTATGAATATCGCGATTGAGGCTAGCGGAATTATGGTCACCTGTCTTGAAAGAAAAGCCGGGATCGTTGGCATCAACGGAGGTGGGAGGAGTTAGGACGGCGGGGAACTCTGTCTCAGACTGTTGCTGGAAGCAGACACGCAGGGGAGCAGACGGCTTAACCGGTAAAGTGAGGGATGCTTTGAATGGCGAGGACGGATCTAACTTGATCTCTGGGTAGATGGCGGCAATGGATGATAACTCCACCGAGCGCTCATCTTCTGGAAACGAGTCCAGCTCTGTCATGGTGAAACAATCCGCCGCAGTGTAAGGAATGAATCAATAGCCTCGAAATCCTCCCAGCTGATCGACGCAAATTGTCGGATGTGTTGGGTGGCAAGGAAGGCCTGACGGCGAAGAGAGGCCGAAACGGTATGGCCGCAGTATACCCCGGGTAGTGTCACTGTTTCGATCTTTCTATAATATTCATTCCCCTGGGAGGCAATCGAAGTGAAAAAAAGGTTAAGGGCGGTGAGGGAGAAGGTGGTTTAAAGAGCAAAGAATTAAGAATAACTAGTCCATGGATCAGCATCTAGCCAGAGGGGATAGTTTTATCAATCAGGAAGTCCGGTGGCGGAGATCCGGAGGGAGGTGCACCTTTCAGGTACGGCCGATGGTTGCGGACCAGGCAATAGTCATGGAGGCAGTGGAGCCGATAGACGAACACAGGAGAAGGGAAGGGTCGGGCGAGACTGAAGGAGACAAGAAGCAGCAGTGTCTATTCTAGTAGTGGTTTGTAGTACAGATATACAGGAGGTGAGGCAATCAGAACGAGGCTTTGGGGGGAAGTGCGTCATGATTTGATGACTCGAGATAGAGATAAGAGAGGATTAACAGCAGCAGCAGCAGTTGAACAGGAGAGAAGATGGTTGCAAGAACTAAAGAGCTGGCTGGGACCGAACAGGAGAAGAAGGAAAGGACATGGTTGTGTGTGTGGGAAAAAAAGATGGGATGGGCATCAGGCACGGGATTTGCTGCCCAGTTTGGTCATCATTTTCAAAAAACTGAATGATGGAAATTCAATGAAATGGAATGAAACGAAATGAAAATGTTCTCGATTGTTCGTTATTTTTTGGGTGACTCGACAGCCTTGCCAGCCTGAGGCCAACTCCCGATCTTCCCCTCCCCCTCATTCCTCTCGCCGCTTTTAGTTCTGCCCATTGTCCAAGGCGGTGTTGGGCTTGCGACTCAAAAGCGGCGATGCCACCATCCGCAGGACGCGTGACCTTTCTCTCCTGGGAAAGATGATGATATCGCCTAGACTGGTCACAATCAGACATTCGCCATCCTGATTTAGAAAATTATCGGCCCGATCAACAGGCAGGGTCATTTTAGATCTCAACATCCATCTACCTCGGATAGGTCTCTCAACCGTTATGTCTGTGTATCGGTCTTGATCCGGTTTCTGATTCGGTTTAGCTCGTTCTGCCAGTTGGTATTGTAATTCTGGGTAGCGTCTTGTTCTTGTCTACCCGCCGTCTGCAAGCTCCCAACAAGGCTATATAGAGGAATACAACACTCAATCATTATCTCGGTCTCACTTTCGAGTCACACAAAATGGCTGATATACCATTGGCGTCCTTGTCTTTGACTCACGTCCACTACGTAAGTTCTCCTTTGTTAATGCTCCTTAATAGCCAGAGTAGCCCGAATCTCAACGCCTGACCATCGCTAACCAAACCCACCAAATGGCAATAGGACCCTAGTGATCCAATTTCCTTTCTTTCTGCCTGGCTCGCCTTGGTGCCACAAGCGCTATGCGTGAGCTATGCTACCCTGATCGTTGCTTCAAGGGAAGCTGAGGTGGTCTTGATGTTTGCGGGTCAGATGGGTTGCGAGGCACTGAATTTCGTGCTGAAGCGTATTGTCAAAGAGGAAAGGCCAAAACGTAGGTAGTCCTGTGCAGAGATCTTTGCATTCTGATACTGAACGGATGTAACTAACGACGTTCTAAAGAAATGTTGGGTAAAGGCTACGGCATGCCATCTTCTCATGCCCAGTTTATGGCCTATCTCGCCGTCTATACATCACTCTTCCTCATTTACCGACACAGCCCGAGCTTATCGCAGTCAGGAGCGGCCCTTCACTTCTGGATGCGAGTGTTGATCTCCTTGGTATTGTGTCTCGGTGCTGGTGCAGTAGCCGTTAGCCGCATTTACCTGAACTACCACACCCCCAGGCAGGTCCTGGCTGGATGTGGCGCAGGTGTGATATGTGCATTCGCTTGGTTCTTTATCACCGGGCTTCTCCGATCGCAAGGATGGATTGATTGGGCCTTGAATCTCGAGGTCTTTCGATTCTTTCGTGTGAGAGACTTGGTGGTGAACGAAGATCTCGCCGAGGCCGGATGGCAACGCTGGGAGGCTAAGCGGAAGTTGAAGCGGAAAGGGCCCAGTGGTCAGACATCATCTAAAAACGAATAGTGCGATTCGAAGATGTCAATGCGGCGGATTTGAAGAGCAATCCCATATACGTGCCAATCTCAGCGATACCCATAGATCTCACCGTCCTTGATACATAAATTCATACAAGGCCTACAAAGTGAAAGTCTCTCGTTTTGG